GTAGGCGTTGCCTCGTTGCATGCCACGGCGTGCTACGGCTCGGACAATAGTTCTTCGTTTCTCGAAAGAAACTCCTATAGGCGAGAAGTTTCGATTTCCTGCATGCTGTTTCTTTATTGTAATTGTCCAAACCATATCGTGTTTGGTATCATTTTAATCAGAAAAACGTCACAAATATCTTGGTAAAAGTTTTATAAGAAAAAAATGAAAAATAACAAAGTTCAGTCATTGCATTAGTATTATCTCACTGATATATCCGATTCCAGATCCTCGAATATTATCTCGAGCCTCAAGTGTCATGTTTCCACTTGACATAGCATTTCGGGCCTTCGCCTGGGTATGTTGTTTTTACGTTTCAAGTGGTCTCCGAACCTATCCTTTGAACAGCAAGAAACCGACAATTTTCGAATCGGCCCGTTCCTTCATCTCCGTATCACAGCCCAATAGAACTTTCGATACTCGGCAACGGAAAAATCTCTGGAAAATTAACATTGTCCTTTTTCAATAATCACATAGGTTCTTATTAACATTGCTCTTTTATGTACAGCGTATCACCAAAGATAATTGATCTGTTTAAATATATTTAGACGATAAAATTTGTCTAAATTAAATTAGATTAAGTTCATAAATAATTTCATCGATTTTGAAATGAATCCAATAATACTGCAAGATTTCAAATAAATTGAAACCTAAGTGACGGCACGAAACGCTATGTCAAGTGCAAATGCATAAACCTTTCCTTCGATGCAACGGCAAAGAATCGACAAATTTTTCGGATGGGTCCGTTGCCTCCGTTCCTTTGGAACGGCACGCAGCAAAACGAAACTCCTCGCCTGTAGTGGCCCAGTTCTATTGCCGAACCGTTTCTATCAAGAAACGAAGAAATATTGTCCGAGCCGTAGCACGCCGTGGCATGCAACGAGGCAACGTCTGCCTATTCAAAAGAGTTCGGAACGGTGATACGATACGGGCGTTGGATACAGGTGGATACTCGGCTCAAGATTTCGACCTTTCCTTCGAACCTTCCCTTCGATGGAACGGCAAAGAATCGACAAATTTTTCTGATGGGTTCGTTGCCACCGTTCCTTTGGAACTCCTCGCCTGTAGTTAGCCAGTCCTATTGCCTAACCCGTTTCTATCAAGAAACGAAGAAATGTCCGAGCCACAGCACGCCGTTGCATGCAACGAGGCAACGCCTGCCTTTTCAAAAGGGTTCGGAACGGTGATACGATACGGGCGTTTGATACCGGTGGATACCCGGCTTAAGACCCACGTGCGAACGACGCGTATCGCGTAGCCATATTGAGTTTTGCAATGACACAGTCAACATCTTGTTGCGCATCTTTTGTATAAAGTTAAGTGTTCGGCGAAGATTTAGCGTCGGTATACAGACTCTTGGAACTCCTCGTCACCTCGCGGATACGATATTGGTGTGCTTCCCTCGCGTTTTGTGGTGAAAATCACAATTGTAAAATGTAATTTCCTCGACGACGCCACGTGTCGTCACGCGTCCCGCGGCTACCTCGTTCTCGCCTCTCGAACATTCCTGAGTCTTGTCGGTCATCTCAAGTGTAAGTGTGAACATTAGTTGGTTGTGAAGCGCGAGTGACAGGTCGAAATAAGTAGACCTCTTGTATTTTTTCGGACCGCGCGGGCGTCTCGCAACGGTGTAACGTCCTTCCTCGCTTAAAATTCGTTTGGACCTCTAGACATTGCTTTTAATAAACTGACTGCTAAGAGTACCTCGTGCGTTTTGAGTTTATTCTGTTGTTCGAACTCTACCCCGGTAAAATCCCCCTTGTTCACCTCCCATCACTACGAAACGCCCATTATTGGTCTGTTGATAACCCACACTGGTTTCGAGAAGTTGACCATCAAAGACAATGGAGCGTAAACGTGTGGTGTGGTATTTTGAAGGAGAAAGTAATCGGACCACACTTAATTACCGGAACGATGACAGGGCAAAAATATTATCAATTTTTACAAGAAGATCTGCCAATTTTGTTGGAAGATATCCCTTTACAAAAACCGCTATGATATGTGGTACCAACATGACACGGCTGTCCTGCTCATTATGCACGAGTAGCAAGAGAAACATTGGATTATTCTATATTTCGAAACCGATGGATTGGACCAGGTGGAACTGTCTCATGACCAGCACGTTCGCCTGTTTTAAATCCACTGGCTTTCTTTTTGTGGGGTCTGCTAAAAGAGACGTGTACATGAATCCTCCAACAACAGTTGAAGATATGCATCAGCGGATCATCACAGCATGTGGGAATATCACGTCGGTTGTACTTGTCAGAGTTCAACATTCGGTCAGAGTAAACGGTCATCATTTCGAACATTTATGAAATACAGGTATTCTGCTTTCATATTTTAAATCTTCTACGTTTTCTCCGTCCGTGACCTTGAATGACCTTTGGATAATAATAGTCACTGAATTTCTAATGAAAGGGACTATCATTATAGATGTTTCAAAAAGGGTGGTTCCATTTAAAAAAATGGAGGTGACCTTGATATCTTTAAAAAAAATGACATAAAAACAAAAATATCTTTGGCATCGTGTGAACCCCATTGAACCATTCAACTTTATCCTTAAGATATGTTACGTATCTTTAAAAACAGCAAAGACATTTGAGGTGCAAACGTTAGGTGCCTCACCCTGTATACTGATCGAATTGAGTAACCTCCTACTTTTTCGAAGTCAGAAATGAGACCGAATATAATAGAATTTGAATCATATTTCTTTACAAATACGTATCAGGTTATTAATTTTGTTTCAGGAAATAAAGTAAGTAAATATGATCGAAATAATATTGTAATTTGAGCCACGAGGCTCCATATGTAGTACAATTTATAGGAATTACTGCCTTTGAATATTCGAATACATATCCGAATACATATTCAAATTACCCGCTGTTGCGATTTAATTATTGTAATTAATAATTTAACGAGATGTATGCAGAAATAAAAGATTTATTCAAGTACAAACGACGCGTTGATCATCACTTAAAAGTAGGAGAAAAAACCGTTATAATCGAAAGAAGATCATAAAGAAGAATGCAGTATAGAAAATCAATGTGACAAACATACAGTAAATAAAAACAGTTGATACTACTGCTAGTATCTATGTTCATATGCTATATAAACATTATTCAACACTCGCATTATTCTTAATAATTAGAGTTGAAATATGTCTAACAACAAATTTCGGTACTTATTTACAAAACAGACATCACCGGTTTCGATGATTTTTAAATATTTCGTAGAAAACAGGGCTATATTTCCGAAAACTTGTCGTATACGATGTGGCTGAAATTTTGCAAATAACTTCATTTTACATAAAAACAATGTTCGCGAGAAGCATCTTTGACGATTTGAATGTTAAGACCTATAATTTCGCGAAGAACATTTTACTACATTTTACTAATCTCATTCTCTGCGTTCTCGATATAACGAAGGAATAAAATTACAACATATAATGAAGAACTGAAATTCAAGTACGAAATAATCTATGTATATGTATACCTATTAAAAAAAATTTATGAATTCTATTCCGAGTTCGTTCGGCAGTTCTATCCGCCCGATTTGCATTATTTTTTTTTTAAATGAAAGGTATTCTTGCATAGATAACGCAACAAGCATTGGAATACATACATCTACCTTTCGCCCTTCTTAAGTTATATACTCAAACGTGATTTTACTGGAATTTCTCTCCACTGAAAGCTTCGTATCTCCGGTTCTAATTGAGGTACGGTGTTCGTTTTTGTCTAAGAACAGTCAGTGAATCAAGCTCTTTCATTGGAGCTATTAACCAGTTACATTGGATGACTTGAATTTCAATTTTTCTAATAATCTATATAAAAATTGATGTTTGAATGAGAATTTTTCGCACGGGTCGGTCAACTAGTTGTAATGAAAGATTGTACTATATTATTTTAATTATATTAGTAATTATTTATTACTTATATTTAGTGAGACCCTTGCGTTTGAAGGCTTGATGCAAATTAGCGACTGAGAGTCGCCATACGGTTAACTTCAACTCTGGACGAGTCCATTTTCGAACTGTCAATCTTAACAATCAAATTGCCACCTCCCTGTGAGGCGTGGGCCCCACGTTGGGAAACACTGGTTTAGACCAGAATGACAAGGCGTGCTTTTGGGTGTTTATTCGTTAATAATTTTGTTAAGTTGTGACGGCAAATCTCGTGAAAAGTGTAAAAAAATGTCTGTTATAACTCTCATAACACAATTAAAAGTGTGTATCAACAATGTATTGGATAGGTTAGGTTACATTTCACTTAAGTTACAATATTCCGAAAATAAAGCCGAAAGGCGCGATGCGGCGGTTAAATAGAGGTACACTCTTTCTACATACAGGGTATCTCATAATTCCTGGAACACCCGGAAATAAAAGGTTGCTAGGGTGATTCTGAACAACTTTTTCCTTTATCAAAACGTTGGTTGAAGCTTCGTTTTTAAATTATTAACGAAAAACACGAGAGCACGTGCCTAATCACGAGTGCGTTGGGTCTCAACCGCGCTCGGCCGTGGTCCTGAACAAACGCATTCGTTATTCATGAATAACGAAAAATTCCGCATTGTTGCACGCTTACCTCGATATCCACGCTGGGCCAATGCGTTTGTTCACGACCACGACCGAGCGCGGTTGAGAGTCAACGCTCTCATTGGGCACCGTTTTTCGTTAATAATTCAGAAACAAAGCTTCAATCAACATTTTGGTAAAGGAAAAAGTTGTTCAAAATCAGCCCAGCAACCCCCCTAGTTCCAAGTGTTACAGGAGTTATGAGACACCCTTTATAATTACTGGAAAAAAAGTTATTTAAAGTGTTGATTCCTAGAACGTACCTATTTAAATATCATCGAAATTAGTGACGCCATCCGCTTTATAAATAATTACCTAAATATTTATTTTCATTTATTTTCAAGTTAATATGTTAAGAAGCTTACAATTAATATATTCAAACAATACAAACCTGTTAGTTTGAATTTGCCGAGAATTTGGTTTCGGTGATGGACCACGCCCAGCGAGATGTACATCAGTGTAAGAATTGAAAGTAACGAGTCTATTTACTCCTCGTAATTCACTTGCTATCGAGGATACGCTAAAAAGAGAGAGATCTGTTGTGACGCTCTCGTGACTTGGCGATCGCAACATTCGTGATGTCACTTGGAGGCCTGGGCACTGCGTATCGGTTAAGTTATTACAACATTGTGTAGAAGTAACCACCGGCATTGGCAATACTGATTTTGTTTTGCCTTCAGACATTTTCGTACCTTTCACTGTTTCAATTATTTTAAGAATTTTCCACAAATTATGAAAAATTGTTCATTATCGTCTTCATTATTTAGAATCACCATCATTTCAATCCGATAATATCACAATTATCAGCAAATTTTTCGTAACTTCCAATTAACGTTAGGAGGATCGGCTTTTCTATCAACTTGTAAATTAATACAATAGTTTATAGGTACCGAGGTCATTGATTTTTTTCTTTGTCCATGAATTTGCAACCAATTGCTGACGCAAATTTCAATCAGGTATATCACGAAAGTACTATAGCCAATATTTCTCTGCAGCTAAGATATTAAACAAATGAGTCAAATGTTATTCTAAAACCATATACAGGGTGTCTGAACAAAATTATTTATATTAGAGCAAATTTCTTTATCATTTTATAATTTGAACAGCTACATTGTAAAATGGTAAAGAAATCTTCTATTCGTTTTGACATGAAGAGTTTGCAATTTTTAAGTCATACAATTTTTCTGGTGTGTACCCTGTATATAAGCTTGTAACTTAACCCTAGAAAGACTATAGGGAGGAGGGAAGAGACTGCTTGTCGAATCCATGAGATAAAAAAATATTAGAAATACATATATTATTTTTAATGTAAAGCAATTTCAAGAAAATATTTATATTTATATTTGTTTATGTTCTCAAGAAACAATCTTGATTTAGTAAAGATATTATCGAAAAGAGGAAGTGGTAGGCCGTGTTTCCACAGGCGAGAAAACTTTTGCAATAAATGTCTGACAGACTGTTAGGCAGCAACTAGCCAATGTAAACAGTACTGCAAGAGAGATCGCGACAGTTCCTATGCGCTCGTAGCAATTTGTCGCCAAGCCGATTTACATACTTGCAGGTCTAAACACGTTCACATCGACTCGTCGCAATTTATTTCTCGCACAATAGGACTACACTTTCGAATATCTCGCGCTCGCAGTGACACTTTTCTGTTTTGTCGGTGAGTAATTTTATTTATTTGTTTTTCTTTCTATTACTGTGTAATAAAAGAGCCGAAATAAGTTGCTAATGACTCTTGTGATGACGGTTGATGCGACTTTAAAAATGAAATTAAAAAAAGAACCGAAAATACAGTTTAATTAAACATTGCGTTTCTACTTGTGCCATGAACCATAAAAGCAAGGGACGCACAGAAATTGTTCTTTAGGTAAATTCATTTCCATTTATTTGTCGCTAGGGCAACAAAAGATGTATTTTACAATCTATTTTATTAGTCGAACGTGTTCCCGGTCGTTAAGATGAGTCTTTCCTTCGGGGATATTGAATCTCGCATCTGAGTATCTTCTTTTTTATTTAATTAGGTGACCCATTTTTTATAATAAAATTTCTAAGTCCACAGCAGTCATGCGAATTATTTATATTAAAATACTGTTGTGCGTAGTTTTATTTGAAGTTCTCTTAATAAATTGCGGAAACAACCGAATTCAGGTCGTCTCGAGATCCATTGTCGGGCCCAAATAGATCTTTTTCTCTTTTTGTTTAGTAATAACATTATTGCTGCTGCTACACATTCATATCTACATGGTGTGATATTTGAAACTGAAATGGCGATAAATCTACGATATCTCAAATTATTCTGTGTATACAGTACTGTAAGAATTTGCGACAGTATTCTCTGACAGTCTCTCGCGAAACAATTAATTTTGACGATACAGTATAGACTCGTTATAAGCGAAACGCTTGGGACCGGACTGTTGCCTATTAGGTGTAGTTCCACCATTGGTTTGTTTTCATTCCGTCCTATTTTTCACGCGAGGTCCTTTTCTACGTTCGAAGCAGTCGGCAAATATCAAACAATAGCGGAACTCCACCTTAAGGCTGATTCAGACACGGCTGGTAGTTTAGTGTATGGACACTACAGTTTAGTCGAGTATGTAGTTTAGTAAAACGGTTTAGTCGAGTAGATCCGTTTCATTGGATTTTTCTGGTCGAGTAGGCTTCCCCCACCATTAACTAGGCTTCCGAACATACCTGTCCGGACCCATTTCTTTAGTCTAGCGATATATCTTGTATTCTCGATTTTCAAAGCTCAACTGTACTAGCCCGGACACTTTTCTATGCGCTAAACGGTTTAGTAGTAAGTACCTACTCCCCACTCGACTAAATTACTAGCCATGTCTGAACTAGCCTTTATAGACAACAGCCCAGTCTCCAGCGTTTCGTTTGTAACGAGTCTATACTGTACACGGTAAATATGGTCAGAATTATATCGTGTTTGGTACCATTTTAATCAGAAAAATATCAGAAATATCATGGCAAAAGTTTTATAAAAATAAAATGAAAAATGAAAATGAACAAAGTTAGGTCTTTGTACATATTAGTGTTGCCTCACCGATATCTGATCCCAGATCATGTTACGCTACTCGGCGAGCGAGCTTCGCGGCGTCTCGAGAGGTATACCCCCCAGTGGTAGGGATGGTTTCTTCGGAAATAGCGTACAGATATTTTTTTTTTTTTCCCCTGATAACAAGTCTATACTGTATTGCGGGAATTTACGCGCTAGTGTAAACGGTATTGTATTTTTTGTAAGACTTTCTCGAGTTTTCTCGCATGCGGAAACACGGACTTAGAAACGAATGAACATGTACGCAGATAAGTTAAATTCCTAGAACTTTCTAACTATTTGACAATTTGAAAGAATAGTGTAGTACAAAGCACTGAAACACTGACTACTTTTTCCGCTTTAATAAAAATTATATGTATATGTTTTAGGGGACGAAAATTGTTCCACTGCTCTTTTTATGAACTCATCTTGAAATAATTTACGTTTTAAAAAATGATCTAGATGTTTAAACAAATAATAATGTATTGATGATATAAACATTGTTTAGGGTACATGGTTAAAGAAATTGGAAGCCAAAAGTGTAATAAATTATCATTTTCTCACAAAACGCGACGAATATACGGCATTAAGTGCATAAAGTTTTAATTAAATTAAAAAGTTATACGAATCCTATGAATCGTTTATCACACCATAGCAAATTACTAACAAATAAAATCGGTTTAAAAAAATGAGTATACAGTATATTCGATAAATTCGGTTTAAGTATTCAGAGTGTCCCTTAACTCCTATAACACCCGGAAATGGGGGGTTGCTGGGGTGATTCTGAACAACTTTTTCCTTTACCAAATGTTAGCTGAAGCTTCGTATTTGAATTATTAACGAAAAACACCGGCCAATCAGTGCGTGAGTAACGTATTTTTTTTTAACCCATATCAAACAACTAATAAAAGTGTTGGATGAATTCAATTTATTCATTCTATATGAACAACGACTCATTACTTTATTCGTTGTTCATGAGCAACCAATAATTAGATAATATTATTCTTTTTTTTTCTTTATTCATTATTCGATACAATTTTTTCCCAACGAGTCCTATTATTATACCGACGCGTGACGCCGGTGCGTCATTTGATCACAACCATGCTTCGAACGCAAAGCATACCCAACACTCTCGCCGTTTAGCCCGTGCTATACGCGCGCTCTGATTGGACAGTGTTTTTCGTCAATAACTTGGAAACAAAGCCTTAACTAACATTTTGGCAAAGAAAAAAGTTGTTTAGAATCACCTCGGCAATCATCCCTCCACAGGATTTCCCTTAATTTTGGAACACCCTGTATTATATAGTGCCGAACAAAAGTATTGGCTCAAGCCGGAGCTTCGTATAAAATTCTCTGTAAATCTGTAAAATATACGATTTTCTATTTAATTTTTTTGTGAAATACATATAACTTTGAAGTCTAAGAGGTTTAAGTATACTATAAATCATAAATCTTAGTTGGAGCGGAGCTTCGCTATTAAACGATTGATCGGAATTTTTGTGACTTTTTAACTGAAAATCTAGATTATCAATTTTAACCATTCTTTGCAAGCCAATCACAGTGGGCACTATAAGTGTTTACCATATGTAGAATAAAATCAGAGATCGGTGGTGTCCTTGAGGAATGGTCACGGAAACCGATACCCATGTTAAGTCTATGAGAGAAATCGGAATTACGCCCTGTTGGATTATTTATTAATAATGCTTCACAAAAATAAACGTTGAGAGGCACTGTCTTTTCTGTACCTACGAAAACCTAACTGATACCATCAAGTCTAAGGGCCTGTGACTGTTTACCGTTAAAAGCCAGAGTAATAAACACGGTGCAAACGTAGTTTCTTTTCTTTAAGTGAACGGCAGATTTTCCTTTCGGGGATCTGAGCGTTGCTTCACTTCTCGTTTGACTTTCATACAGTAAACATCTTTCTAAACCAGTAAATAAAATTAAAGTTATAAAATAGATAAAAAAGTATAATCATTTACCAGATTTCCAATCTGTTACTTTTTACATGCCACATTATCAACAATTAAATACTACTTTTAATTGCTATATTGTGTCCAACTCTGTTAAAGTTACTTTTACTGTAAATGAATCGCTTTGCTCCAGTATGTCAGTCACGAAGCGAATGGCGACCTAGTAATATAATAAAGTAAGATGGTAAGATACACATAAAGATCAGTTTTCAGCGGAACAAAAGTATTGGGACACTTACAATTTTGCAATAGAAATTTATTATAGCATATTAATTTAATACCTTGCATGTATGTAATCCTTTTTCCTCTATTACTGTTTTCAAACGATTAGGTATTGAATACACTAACTTTTTTGTGATTTCTGGCCCTATTTTCCGTCATTCTTCAAAGATCACTTGCTTCAGTTCTTGTTTCGATATAATGTGGTGTCTTTGAATCCTTCTTTGTAATTCAGTCCAAAAATGTTCAGTCGGATTTAGGTCTGGGGATTATGGAAGGGTCGGTAACATAAGCGGTATATTGAAAATGATCCACCAACGAACGATATACGCTGTATGTTTGGGATCATTATCGTGTTGGAAGTCGACTAGTAGTCTGCGTCTAAATTTAGTTTCTCTATACTTTTTTTCAAATTTTGCTTTAAAATATTTAAATATACATGTTTGTCCATGTTATTATCTATGAAAACAAGCTCTGCTACACCAGAGGAGCTCTTACACTCCCATACCATTACCTCACCTGTTTCTTTCTTCCCATTCTGTATTGGGAATTCGCCAAACTAAAATCCGACCATCACATTGAAAAATGTTAAATTTGCTTTCATCTAAAAACAATGCTTTGTCCCAGAATGCAATATCGTGGTGTACGTAAGTATTTGCGAACTCTAATTTCTTTTTTTTTTTTTATTGATTTTGCTGATACATGTTTTTCGCCTTGCAACTCTTGATTTATACCCAGTATTTCTGAGCGATCTCCG